TTTTTTTTTTTTTTTTACTGAAAGGTTGTGATTTTTGCTATTATTTATGCTTTGGCTGAAGTATGAATGTAGGTTTTATAAACTGGGCATGTGTATTTGTGTGAGGGTGCCAGGTTAGCCTTGATTATTCTAAAGTATGTAAGTGGTTTTTAGTAAATGATCCAGGTGAGAGTATGTTTTTCCCTTGTGCTACCTTAAAGAGACCTTAATTACGTATCTTCTTAAGCATCTACAATGAAGACAAAATAAGTAGAAATGGTGTGTAACTTTCATGTTGAGTTTATTGCTTTGTAGAAGGCATTAATAATCATTTACAAATATGACCTAACAATTTATTAATCCAGTGTTTGTTTATATTTAATGGTTACTATAATGCTTTCCTTCTTCCTGAGAGAATTGTTTTCAGTCACATGATTTATTTCCCTGTGTCTTCTCCTTCAATATTTTTAATGTCTCCAAAATAGTTGATAAGGACAGACTAGACATGAGAATGTCGGATTTTACAAGCTACCCCAAAATTTGGTGGCTTAAAATAGTGATTTGTTATTTCTTACGATCATGCAGGTCACCTGGGCTCAGCCTGTTGGTTCTTCTGTCCACATGGTTTATAGACTGGGATCACATGTATGACCCCATTCAACTGGGACTTCAAGTGGAACTGGGATGGCTTCACTTCTGTGTCTGGCAGCTCAGCTGGGGCTGGTCAGACCTCTCTCTCCATATAGGTTCCTCATCATTCAGTAGTCCAGCCCAAGCTGCTTTACGTAGTGGCTGGGTCCCAGCTGGAAGCTGCCGGGTCTTTTAAGGACTAGGCCCAGACCTGGCATGCAGTTGCTTCCACTGCATTCTGTTGGCCAAAGCAAGTTACAGAGCCAGCCCAGGTTCTGGGGGAGGAAAAATAGATTCTACTTTTTTCTTTTTTCCTTAAGATTTTATTTATTTATTCATTCATTTGAGAGAGAGAGAGCACACGAGCGGGGAGAGGGGCTGAGGGAGAGGGAGAAGCAGACTCTCCACTGAGCAGGGAGCCTGATTTGGGACTCAACCCCAGGACCACAGGATCATGACCTGAGCCGAAGGCAGACCCTTAACCGGCTGAGTCACCCAGGCATCCCTAGATTCTACTTCTTGATGGGAGGAATTGTTGGTGTCTGTCTTTGTAGATAATCAACCAAAAACTCTTAAGTAAATTCAGGCCTTACCTCTTCTTACTCACCAGGCCATCAGAGCTTTGCTGAAACCAATAGTTACTAAAGAAGAAGGGTCCTTGTAACTCCTACCGAAGATCAAGGGCAGAGAGGTTATGTGAGTAAATATGATTATATACTAGTTATATAATAAATTCCACCTGCTGGGCCCGAAATCTCCTTTGTTAATAGCCTTATGCATGAAATGTTCATACTGAACATTTTCCTCATGGTACTTTACACTCGCAGACATGTTACATCCATTTATGTGGAAAGAACTTGATTTGACCATTGAACTGAAAGCATAAGGAAGGGTTAGTCCTGAAGCTTTCACTTTCAGTTACTCTGTGCAAAGGTTGGGATTTCTTCTCCATGACCTGAGGAGAAATAGTGTGAGGATGTCAGTTGATCAGAGGGAGATTCAAGGGGGTACTGCTGCCAACGAGACCCAGCAGCTCACTGGTAGCTTGTGGGGAGTCTCTAGTAAGGTAGTGAGTAAGGCGCCAGGTGTTCTCATGTTCCTCAGCAGCCACAGACGTTGTATCTTGTCACACAGTGACTTAGACCTGTGCACTGATGTGTTTCTGGAAATGTTCCACTAGCACTGAATGGAGGACTTCATACTAAGACCTCACTTTTGTTCTGTGGAATCTGTGTCTCTTCTCCCCGGGCAACTTAATAGTCGTAAGTTTGTCCTCATAAAACAACTGTCAAGTGTGTAGGATGGTGTGTGTGTGTGTGTGAGAGAGAGTGTGAAGAATGAGCCTCCATAGCAAGCCTTATTGAGTTGATGGAGCTGCGGGTGAAACCAGGGTTCAGGAGGAAAATTTCTCATAAAGGTCTACTTTCCAGAACTCCAATTTGAGAGCTTATGCCAGCTTTTAGTGCGAAAACTACCATTTGCATTGCCTTTTTTTGTGCTTAAGATTTTTTGACTTATGTTATTGCCTTGAGTCTATTTGTTCTTTGAGGTGAGCTCTGTTCCACATAACAGAACCATTAAAATAAATGACAGTAATATAAACCAGACAGTGTTACACTGTTGGAAGCATTTATGGGAGAAGGTGAAGGCATGAAATAGAGCAGACAGAGTCCTCTGGGAATACAAGTGAAATTTTCATGAATAAGTTGGATCCTGCTTTAATTTCCTCAGTATCTGTAATGGGGTATCTTCTTAGAAACCCGGTTTGCAGAATGCATAGCACGTATGCTGTTGTTTCCAACAAGACAAGAAGATGACCCCATGGGTATCCTGGAAACCCCATCCTGGGTATCCTCCCTTCTCAGGCAAACAGGAGTGAAGGAGATCATTGTGAAGAGTAAGAAGTATACCATCACTAGAGGATGGTATGATTCCGTATCATGCATCTTACACATTTTTCTGGAGTTGGAGAGACTTTTCTTCGGTAGAAATTACACTATAATCACTACATTGTCGGTTTCCTAAATATCTTTGTGCTTGCCCTGTGGGCTGAAGGAATAGCAGCTTTCCAGCTAAAAGAAAACCTCTTTCTGAACTGTCAGTGTTTCTCCAGAAAAATAAACTCTAAGGGCACCTGGGTGGCTCAGTCGGTTAAGCGTCTGCCTTTCTTTTTCTTTCTCTTTTTTTTTTTTTAAATTTTATTTATTTATTTGACAGAGCGAGATACAGTGGGAGAGAGAGCACAAGCAGGGGGAGCAGGAGAGGGAGAAGGAGACTCCCCGCTGAGCAGGGAGCCTGATACGGGGCTCGATCCCAGGACCCTGGGATCATGACCTGAGCTGAAGGCAGACGCTTAACAACTGAGCTACCCAGGCGCCCCAAGCATCTGCCTTTCACCTCAGGTCATGAACTCAGGGTTCTGATCGAGCCCCACATTGGCTCCGCATCAGGCTCCTTGCTCAGCAGGGAGCCTGCTTCTCCTCCCTCTGCCATTCCCCCTACTTGTGCTCTTTGGCTCTCATTCTCTCTATCAAATAAAAATGTTAAAAAAAGAAAGAACGAAACTATACTCTGAACTAAACCGAGTAGTTAGAGCATCGGTAGAGAAATAGATTGCCAAACAAAAGAAGAAAGCTGATAAAGGAGTCCAGCTTGAAGGTGCCACACACTCATGTGATCCTGCATATCGAAGGAAGTAAACACCAGAGTCCCAAGATGTTTGTAGTGGTTGTCAGTTCAGGTGAATAAAGCATCTCCCCTTACTATGCTAGGTACTATAGGGATCATGAAGACAGTTGACATCACCAAGGAGCCAAGTTTCTGAGAGGGCAATTGAGAAGTACGTACAAGAAGATACTGGACAAGGCAGAATGTAGTTAAGTGCTGGTCTAAAGGAGAAAGGTTACTGTAGGGTGCGGAGAGGGACCAGAAATGGCTTTGGAGATGGCCCTCAAAAAATAGATTAGGCTTTAAACAGGAGAAGATGGGAAAAAAGGGTAGGAGCAAGAATTTTGAGGAAGTCCCAGGGTGAGGAATGACAAGGGCAGAGGTCAGCCCCACACCTGGCGGGGAGGGCAGAGCATGGTCGTGGTCCGTTTGGGTTGAAGCTGAGGAGAGGGATGCCTGGCGAAGCAGACTGGCTGAAGCCATTTAGGGTAGGCTTTCCTGCCTTGCTAAGGAATCTGTAGAAAGCAGAAGTGCCATATGATCAGAACAGTGAGTGTGGTGCCTCATCTGGTCCGCATTGGAGAACCTGGAGGCCGAGAAGGCAGTTCTTTCAGTGATTCAGTAGAAGGGGCTGAGCACTAAATTAAGGTGGGGGCTGTGAGAATGAAGGGCAGTTGTAGAGAACCATGCCAAATTGCTGTCTTCCTTGTTCTACCAGGATGTGGTGACTAATCGCAAATGAAACCTCCTTTAGCCTCTTGCAACCTGTGCTCACTCCTAACCTGCAGAGGTAAATAGTGAAATAATCTAACAGCTGAACTCTTCAGTTCACATCATATAAACTCCTATCCCAGTTGAGTGGATGCATTGTTTGCAGCCCTGAATTGAGGAAGGGACCTGTTCAAAAGGTAGCGAGGTTTCGGAACTTAAAAGCACACAAAGACTACAGAATCAGTTTGTTATGTCTGAATTTTGGAGTTGCTGGAACTTCCTATTGCATTAGTAATTTAAAAAACAAAACAAAACAAAAAAAACCTCAATCTCCCTAGTGTTTATGGTGAGTGTTTAGATATGAAATGTTTCTATAGCCTGAGGGAGGAATTTATGCTAAATGAAATGAGCAGCATCATTAGAAGTTTAGGGGTTAACCAGATTTCAGTCCTGAAGAATGCGTTCTAGGAGGAGGAAGGCTGCCCACCCTGCTTACCCCTCTGCACCAGAAGTATCCCAGGCCTGTCGCTCGCTGCAGCCGGAGGGGCTGAGAAAGGGACCACTGGCACAGTGAGATTTCCACGTTAACCTTCTGTCACCGTGGCCGCAACGTGTCCTGTGGAACGGATCATTGGAGGAGCTGTGTGGTTGAGGTCGTGCTGGGACGAGCAGAAACCTCTGAAATCCGCTCTCCTCGCACTTCTCGTACCTGTAATCCCACAGAACCCTTGTGCTGAGTTTCACACCAAACTCGCTACGCTCACAATTGCATTCTGGGTGCACTTGAATTACCGTTGCTTCAGCTAGAAGTGTTATATACTTCCCGGGAGATGAGGATGACACAAAACAGGTGGCTGGCGACCATTAGAGTTTGACTTCGACTCTCCCCTTCCGCCTCTTTCTGCAAACGAACGGGGTCTCCAGTTGGGGTGCGAGTCTGCCGTGTCGTTTGTACCGGCATTATGTCTTTGATTAATGGTTTGAGTTGTTAACGGAATTGGAGTCAAGCCGCTCCCTGTTACCTTCCTGTCCCCTTTGTCTCAGCCCAGGGCTGTGCCGTCCATATGCATACAGCACGGAGGCTCGTGCGCGGAGCGGAAAGCCACCTGTCAGCATGCAAGTGAGACTGAACTGTGTGTGCTTGACACCCTTGCAGAAATCTAGTGTTTGGAATCTCTGAGCTTGAGACCCGACCAGAGTGTGGTCTGCTCCACACCGGAAGCAGGTGCTGCTTGACATCTGTGGCATTAGTCCCTTTGTCCTGTGCCCGACCAGTCCAGACTCCATAGTGTTGCTGTAGCACCAGGTTTCTTTCGTTTTCTGGTCGTGTTCTACTAATAGCTAGATGGGATAGGGATATGTTTTTCCTTTGCTTAATTTATCCAGGTTTGATTACCCCTAATTTACAGGGATTTTAATTTTGAAAAATAATTAGTGGAAGACTGATGAAGTAGAGCTACACGTCTGGGTGTTGTATTTAAGTATGTGAGCAACAGACAGGACACTTCCAGGGTGGCTGGGAATTTGGATTCGGAGGAGTTACTGCTCTCCTCTGGATCCTCTGTGGCGTTTTTAGGAGTTCCTGACTTACAACATGTCATAAAACATACATTTAGAGAAGATAAGAACTGGAAAGTTTCCTAATACTGGTGGTTTGTTCAAAAGTCCATTACGGATTTTGAAAGGTAAAAATGAAAGTGAAGGAGTTAGGCGTCTCTTCATGTTGCTTTTGTTGTGCTTTTTCTCATTGTGTTGGTGTTCTGGAATTTGTAGCCAGTCCAATGGATCTGACTCTGCACCCTATTAAACAGGAGAATTTGCTTTAAAAATTCTATTGTACCTGGTTCTTACCTATGAAGTCCTTCCCCACACCAGTTCGTTTTAAACTATTGGGTCTTCTCAAGCATGGGATTAGCGAGGATAAAACAATGTGTAATATGTTGGAGGCTTGTGAAAGATTCCGGGGTGGAAGGGACAGAATCTCTGACTGAATTTTGCTTTGTACTTGGGCTTGCAGGAATTGTGGGAGGCGCTCCAGTGAAGAAATGGACCAGTCTGCATAATCATGGACTCTCCTTGCTGACCATCACCACCTGCTGTCCTTGATAAGTGAGAGAGAGTGGGTCAGGGGAGAAGGAAAAGAGGTCAACATGAAGCTAAAGCAGCGAGTCGTGCTGTTAGCAATTCTTCTTGTCATCTTTATCTTCACCAAAGTTTTCCTGATTGACAACCTAGACACATCAGCTGCAAACCGAGAGGACCAGAGGGCTTTTCACAGAATGATGGCTGGCTTGCGGGTGGAGCTGGTGCCCAAGCTGGACCACACCTTGCAGTCTCCCTGGGAGATTGCAGCCCAGTGGGTGGTTCCCCGGGAAGTGTACCCAGAAGAGACACCAGAGCTGGGGGCAATCATGCATGCCATGGCCACCAAGAAAATCATTAAAGCTGATGTGGGTTATAAAGGGACACAACTGAAAGCCTTACTCATACTTGAAGGAGGACAGAAAGTTGTCTTCAAACCTAAACGGTAAGTCTTCATCTTGGAAGTTCTATGTGCTAGTTGGTTGATTCACATAGCTTGCAATTTATATAAGACTTCATCTCCTTCTCTTGGTGTTCTCTTCAATAAAATGAGAAGAGTAGACCACAAGATCTCTGAAGTATTTTCTAGCTCTTAATGTTCTATGATTCTTCGAGTAGGGGCAATTTATGGGAACGTGTTTTGGTTCTGTATAAGACTTGAACGTTTTACACTTAAAGCTCTCCTTGATTTCTGAATTTACCAAATGTGTGCTTTGTGCCAGATGTGAGCGATACAAAATGAACTGGTTAGGAACTAAGTGACTTGTCACCAAAAGTGTGCAGTTGGAGGCTGGATAACTAACCACATGTCAGGGCTGCGGTAGAGCCGGAGTTAGCCAGAGCTGGAGTGGGTTTGGGCAGGTGACTAAAGTCCCCTTGAAGTACTGAAGCTATGATTCTTTCACACGGGTTTTGTTTCAATTAATGAACTTTATTTTTTGGAGCAGTTTTAGGTTTACAGAAAAATCAAGAGGAAAGTATAGAGAGCTCACCCACCTACCCCCAGTGTCCCCATTATTGACATCTATTAGTGTAGCACATTTGTTACAGTTGATGAGCCAGTATTAATTTATGAGCTAAAGTTCATTGTTTGCAGTAAGGTTCACACTCCATGTGGTACATTCTGTGGATTTTGATAAACATATAATGACAAGTACCTACCATTACAGTATCCTACAGAACAGCTTCCCTGCCCTAAAAATCCCCTATGTTCCACTTACTCATCCTTCTGTTTCCCGCCCCCCCCCCCCAAAACCCCTGGCAACAACTGATCTTTTTACAGCCTCCATAGTTTGGTCTTCTGCAGAGTGCTATATAATTGGAATCATACCTTTGTAGCCTTTTCGGATTGGCTTCTCTCACTTAGCAATGTGCATTTAAGTTTCCTCCACGTCTTTTTGTGGATTGATGCTCATTTCTTTTTATTACTGAACAGCATTGCATTGTCTGGATGTACCACATTTTGTTTATCCATTTACCTACTGAAGGACATCTTGGTTGCTTCCACATTTTGGCAAATATGAATAACGCTACTATAAACATTCATGTGCACGTTTTTTGTAGATGGAAGTTTTCAGCTCATTTGGTTAAATACCAAGGAGCATGATTGCTGGATCATATGCTAAGAGTATGTTTAATTTTGTAAGAAACTGCCAAACTGTCTTCCAAAGTAGCTGTACTCTTTTGCATTCCCACCAGCAATGAAATGAGAGTTCCTGTTACTCCACTAACATTTTGTGTTGTCAGTGTTTGGGATTTTAGCCATTCTGATATGTGTGTAGTGATGCCTTATTGTTGTTCTACCTGTTTTAAGGAGAGAACTGAGCATTTTAGCTCCCTCAGTCCAAAATCTGAGAAAGTGAGCTGAGTTGTATGTTGTTAGACAGTGATCCCTTGGGGACTTCTCAAAGGCTCTATTGAGATAATTGGTGTGGCAATTTTTAAATAGTTTTCTGTGAGTATATGAATGTGAAATAGATTAACATGATGGTGATTCATATTCTTTTGCCAGGAATTAGTTACCAGTGAATTTTCTCAAAGTTGGTAATGTCTGAAATTTTCTGTGTACTAAACGTTTTTTTCATTCCTTAATAGAGCTTTTGAGTCTCTTGCTGGGGTGGGATAAGAAATATGGGGTAAAGGTGTACAAAATTCAACTGTGACAAAAGTAGTTAGCTTAGCCGTCTTCACAACCCTACCATCAGTAGGTAATAGGCAGCCGGAGAGCAAATCTATTGGGATCCCAGAAAGGGAGGAAGTCTGCATTTGCCTGGAACTGGGAAGTGTGATGTATGGAAGACATGGAAATTAGGAAAGTTAAAAATACAGTATGCTTTTGGAGAATAGAAAAGTCTGATTGGCAGGTGATGTGGAAAAAGTGTGGTTATGTGGGCCTTGCGATATATTTTCCATTGGACGCACACCGTTCACCAGGCACCACACTAAATACTTTTGTCTCTGTCCATGCTTTCAGCCTCCATCACAACTGTGGGCAGTTACACCTCTTATTTAGAGAGTAAGAAACTGAGGCTGAGGGAGAGTAACTAACTTGACAGGGTCATCCTGCCGTAAGTGGCTTTGGGATCTGAGTCTGAGTGGCTGGTGTTCTGCCACACACGTGTAGTTCTCTTCAGTTTGTTTGCCTTCCTGTAAGTGTGATGACATGCAGCACCCATCATCAAAAATCACTAGCTTAGTTTTGAAATGTAGTCCTTGACGTCTTGGTTGGTGGCCTGGGCGAGCAGCAGTGTGAGCAGAAAGAAGGCAAACTAAAAACAAAAATGAAATTCGCGTACAGAGATGCGCTGTGGGCATTTCGTGTTTAAAGAAGAGGATGTCCCCTGCACAAGCACCATCTGTACAGGGGGCACTGGGGGTAAGGTGGGCCAGCAGGAGGCGTTAGAAGGCAGGTGCTCGGGTAGTGCGCTCTGTCCGTGCTAGTCCAGGCGCTTGGCAGGGAGGCCCAGGGTGTTCAGACCGGGTAGAAGTGGAGGGAGGGGAGGCCCGGCTGGTGACCACGGGAGGTGGCAGCAGAGAACCGCACAAACTAACCTGGTCACTGTCGCTTCATCTCCCGTCTCTTTCCACCACCGCAGCCATCCCCTTACCTCCCTCTACCACACCCTGCTGAGGGCCCCTTTCATTCCCCCTCCAAATGCCCATGTGAGCACTGTGTTCCCAGCTTTAAAACGTCCAGGGACCGCCCGTTGCTCACTGGACAAAACCCAGCCTCCACAGCGTCATGGTCCACCCCTGGCAGTCCAGTCCTCCCCTCTACACCCTGCTCTTGATTCCTGCCCCACTGGTCCCCGCACCCCCCCAGCCCACATCACTCCCAGCCCCAGGGAACTGTCCTCCCCCCACCCACCACCTGCAGGGGCCCTGCGGTGGGGGGGGGTCACGCCCTCGGTCACGGCCCACGCCGACCTGTGCTGGTTACACCCGGCACTGTCACAGGCTGCGGACGGTGGGTACACGTCTCAGTGCTTGTAGAAATTGACTCTGGCCCCGAGACGCCCAGCAAATTGCTATTCTGACCCTGGGGGCCTCCGAGGCTATTTAGTCCTAGTGTAAGTGCAAATTAATGTCCTTGGTCAGACGCCGATGTCCTTCAGCAGAAGGGTAGGAGTGATTTATTGGCAGTTACTGTATGAATTTTGCTGCTCTGCCAGTGACAAGATGGATCACTCTCTGCTGAGAGGAGGCCCCATGTCCCTGCTGCTGCGGCGGCACGTGCACCCTTCTTTACGAGCCACTTGTGGTTCCTGCGCTTCCGGAGCCCGGATGGCCGTGTCCTCCTGTCAGAGACAGGAGGCGTGCGTGGTGGGTGGAATTTATGGGAAGACAGTGATGCTTTTATTTGCACGTTTTGCCTCACATTAGAAAAGTGATTTTTTTTTTTTTCCTCAGTGTAGCTGTCGGCCTTCTGGAAGTAGATGGGCTTTCACAGGCAAAGCCTGCAGTTACGGTGGGAAGGCAACAAGATGGCAGGGTAGGCCTCAGAGTGGGGAGACGTGAGTGAGTGATCCTAGCGTGTGTGGGAAGGGACCTTGGGGATGGGCCGGCCGGGCCAGCTGCTCCTTTGACGGGTGAGACGCAGTGTTGGGACGCGCCATGGTTCACACAGCCCACGGGGAGCCGGGGAGTCAGACCTCCTGACTCTGCCGCAGCTCTTTCATTCTTATTCCTTCCCTCTTCTTTCCCTCCCTTCCCCTCCAGGCCACCCCCAACGTCCCTGGATTCCCCTAGGGTTTAACATTCCACTCCGAGCCACCTTTCGAGGTTTTGGAAAGCTCTCGAATGTTTCACTGGAAGGAGTAGACCGCACAGTGCACACATGTCCCTGTGGCTCCGCTGGAGCCCCGACAGAGAAAGTGTTCAGGACTGTCCCCCAGCTCTGCGGACAGCCTGCAGCTGTGGTGGAGAGAGACGTGCTCGAATAATGTCAGCTTTTGCTGCAGTTCTGTTTAAAAATGGAGGCTTTACTGGGGAGGCAGCCAGTGGAATCCTAGGTAGCCTGACCAATGCTTTGACACTAGGAATGAGCAAGCGACGCTTGAGGATACGGACCATACTAAGAAGAAACTGGCCTCCAACTGGGGGGTGACGCACGGCTGTCTTCTGACAGAAGTGTTCCATCACTTTGCCTTGAAAAGGTATTTTGTGGGCATGGTTTGTTTCACTTTAGATGCCAAGGTCATTTACACTGAAGCTCACAGCCTTTGACAGCACCGTCTCCCACTCCCCCCATCCAGGTGTCCCCAGCAGAGCAGCTCCTCTCCCCTCCAGCTTCCGTTCATTTCTATTTTACACTTGCCTGTAAAGCCTAATAGGTCTTTTGATTCGGGGAAATGCAGGCGAACAGTAGAGGTCATAAGCGGATTTAGTGTCTCTTTCTTCCCGATTAACCATTAAATGGTATCTGTCTTTATGATTGGTAGACAGAAGTATGCCAGCTTTTATTATCTTTTGTTTATGTCATGCATGTGATGGAAAAATCATCAGAGTGGAGTTTGAGATGAAAGAGATCTTAGAAATTGCCCCCTAGTCCAGCCCCTAGTATGTTATAGATGTAGAATCTAAGACCCAGAGAAGAGAATAGTTTAGCTCAAGGTTACCCAGACAGGTAATGACAGAACCATACACCTGGCTGTCACGCCAGTCCAATATTCCTGCCGCTACATCATCATAAATGTAAACACAGAAAAAGAGGATGGTTATTCAAACAGCTTTTTTCAAATGCACCTTTGCTTACTCATTAAACGAACACTGAGGCATATCAAGACCGTTTATTTCCAAGAAATTTAAACTTCTCTTATAAGCCTTGCCATAGCCATTCTGGTAACACAAACATTTTAATTGTATGTTTCCCTTCGTTTCTTCAGTTCAGTCTAATAAAAATGTTAGCAAACATTTATTAAGCACCAACTATAGGTAGAGACACAGAGATAGTCCTTGCCCTCCAGAAAATGACCTTTGAGTTTTACTTAAACTCCATGGAAAGAGGGGTAGAAATAGCATCTCACATGTTTTATTCATAGAGTGACTGCTGCAGCAGATAGAGAAATCTAGTTTCTCTTCTCCACTTCATCTTCACCCCCTCTACCAGTGATTGATCCGAATCCACACCACTGCTCAGGTTTGACAGGGAAGGTGTCCATAGGGCGGAGTCAGGCTTGCTAACGTTCTCGTGCGGTGCCGATGTAATTCACGTCTACATCTGTGCTTCCCATTCACTCTGCAGGTATAACCGAGACTATGTGGTAGAAGGGGAGCCCTATGCTGGTTATGATAGACACAATGCAGAGGTAGCAGCCTTTCATTTGGACAGGTATGTGTCATCATGGAGGGTTACGTTTGCTTTGTTTCCTTTTTTAAAAACCTCTTGGAGAGGACTTGTGGACTCCTAAAGGGAGCAACACTCATAACTTCCACTTGGTACCTACTTGAGATAGCTGATGGACGGATTCCACTAAATTTGCACGAGTCCTTTGCAATCTGGGTGGTTCTCGGAATACCAGAGTAGATATCTTCACTTTATACTATTTAAGGTCATTTCATTCTGGTATACCACCATGAGTGAAGATATTCTTGGTAAATACAATGGCAGGATGAAAACCAGAGTTGGAACTCAAGTCCCTAAATTGAATTCATCATTAATTGGGCCTGAGAGTACTGTTTTTTTGGTTTGTTTGTTTTGCTTTATTTTGTTTTAAGTAAGTAAGACTTATCCCCATATGCTAGAAGCATACAGCATGACATATATAATGAATTGGCCTTCATACAAAATATGCTTGGCTTCAGTAACCAGAATAATTCCAAAAGAAAGATGGATATACATTCGAAATGTGTAAGCTAACTAGGAAGATTAATATTTTTTTCACCACGGGGCTGGGCTAGCCGGGAGCCTGGTAACAGGAATGTCTGGTAGCCCACTTCCCCGTCTGAGCAACATCGCCATCAGGGCATATTGACAGACTTCAAAAGAAATATTCACAATATTTGTTAAATGAATATATAAAGAAAACCAGAAGAAAATAAAGGTGAATTTTTGTCTTTTTCTGGATTAGGAAGGATTTTCTAGGCACAAAAGCAATAATTGAAAAATTGCAAAGGAAAAGCTATTCAGCAGACTCAGCTAAATACAATTAACTCCTATATCAGGAAACATCAAATGAGAAAATACTTGAATCCAATGTAATCCAAGCATTAACAACCTTAATATATAAATGTTTATACAAATCTATATATATGCTAAAACTTTAATAGAAAATGATCTAAGGACACAATTGAGTGAATAGAAATTATCAGTTGCTGATAAATATGGCGGGGGGGGTGTTGGCGGTGGTTCATCCTCACCAATAACAAGAACAAATCCAATTGAAACAATGGGATACTATTTTCTTCTGCTAAAAATGGCAGGATTTAAAAAAAAAAAAACAACAGTATTTTATTGGCAGGAATGCATTGAGATTCCGATGCAGCTTGTGGCATTGTTAATCAGTTCAATCTTTTGAAGAACTCTGGCATTATGTATTGGAAACCTGAATGCTCCTACCCTTTGGATGAGTAACTACCTTTTTACTCAAATATCTAAGATATTTCTAGGAAGGTATTTCTAGGAAGTACCCTGGAGAAGTAATGAAATCCAAAGTTACATATTCAGGATCTTAGCCGTAGAGTTTTCAGTAGTGAAAAACTAGTAGCAGGGGCGCCTGGGTGGCTCAGTCGTTAAGCGTCTGCCTTCGGCTCGGGTCATGATCCCAGGGTCCTGGGATCGAGTCCCGCATCGGGCTCCCTGCTCAGCGGAGAGCCTGCTTCTCCCTCTCCCACTCCCCCTGCTTGTGTTCCCGCTCTCGCTGTGTCTCTCTCTGTCAAATAAATAAATAAATAAAATATTTAAAAAAAAAAAAAAAAAGAAAAACTAGTAGCAGTCTAAATATCGAGTGATAATGGAAAAGGTTAAATAAATGTTTGTTCACAATACCATGAATTTTCATTGCCTCTTTTAGGACCTAGTGGTAGAGAATTAGGTAAATCCTGCTTCTCGCCTAAAGGCATGCTGGAATCAGTCTTTCCAAGAGCTCATTTGTTTCCCTGTTGTCTTCATTCCCAAACCCTATTTCCCAATTGATGGGCACCAGCAATGCATGAAGATCATTTTCCCCTATCTATACCAATATTTCATAAACCAGTATTTCATCCAACACATGAATTTGTGTTAATCTATGTAAAATGGTACCTCATTGTTAGTTATTTGTTTTTCCCCAGTTATTATTAGCAAAATTTAACATCTCCTTATCTTTTCATATCACAATACCTATTTGTTAACTTAAAGTGAAATAGTCTTTGTACAGAAATCACTCCCTTTGATGTTAATTAAATATACTAATGTTTTAGTTCATGATTGTGCTCTGGGGGGTCTTGCATTTAAAAGTCCTTCCCTACCTCAAAGTCGGAAAGTTCTTCTCTAGCCCAGCCCCCTACCCGTTTTGTTAACTGCTACCCCAGCCGAGCTCAGGTGACATGGCCCCTCAGCACTGCACTGGCTGCTGGTCGTTGGCCTGGCGTGGTCAGTGGGGAGAAAAAGGACTTCCCCCCTCTCTTTGCCGTCCATGGCTCCTGATCCTTTTCTGCTCTGGGTTGCTTTTTCTCCATTACATTAGGATTTAACCACCTTCTCTGGCCTCAGGAGGTTCTCTCGATTTTTCTGTTATTTTGACCCATCTGTTGCTCTACTTGCTTTTGTAGCTTTTTGAAGATTGAGTGTAAAACAGTCAGGAGCCCTGAACAATGGATTATTTCTTTGTGCAGCTGTTTTGAAAGGTTTTATCATGACATGAGAAAAGGCTCATAACGATGAGTGAAAAGCAGGATACAAAACTGCATATAATATAATCTTGATTGTGTGTCTGTACACAAGAGTGTGTATGTATGTGTTTATATATATGTGTGTAAAGGAAAAAATGCTCATATGCCAAAATGTCAGTAGTTATTTCTGGGCTGTGGAATTATGGATGATCTTTATTTTCTTCATCATAACTTTTCTGTATGTTCCAAATTCTGCCCCTCCAACTTTCCTTCAGTGAGTGTGTATTTTTTAGCCAGGAAATTTCATTTTTTAAAAAATGATTTTGCTCAACTATAAGGTTGTATTTTTAGACCATTAGAGAGAAGTATCTTCAAATATATCTGTATTTAGTTGTCCTATGGGCTTATCCTTTTAGATTAATCTATATAGTTTTCTGTCAGTGTGCTTTTATCCAAAGCTTTGAACCTTTATATGGGTTTAAGCCCATTTTTTTTGATGCTTTGTTAAAATTTATTTAAAAGTTTTACTATGAAAAATTTCTAACAAATTAGAATAGTTTAATGAACCCATGTACCCATTCCCCAGATTTAGCAGTTGCTCACATTTTGCTAGATTTGCCTTATCCTTTTTGCTGAAGTGGATATTAAAATACATTACATACATATTGATATTATGGACGGATTCCACTAAATTTGCACGAGTCCTT